TCTACCCACCCTCATCGTATCCGAAATGTCGTTCTCTACATTAAGATACATACATTAGTCGATATTTCGTGTCTGTACCTGTTGCACTTCTCCATAAATAAGAGGATTTGTTTCTTTAAAACTGCTTTCGTCCTTATTTATGGGCGTGTGGACTCCACCCACCTTCATCGTAACCTAAATGTCGTTCCCTACATTAAGATACATACATTAGTTGATATTTCGTGTCTGTACCTGTTGCACTTCTCCATAAATAAGAGGATTTGTTATTTTAAAACCACTTTCGTCCTTATTTATGGGCATGTGGACTCCACCCACCCTCATCGTATCCGAAATGTCGTTCACTACATTAAGATACATACATTAGTCGATATTTTGTGTCTGTACCTGTTGCACTTCTCCATAAATAAGAGGATTTGTTCCTTTAAAACCGCTTTCGTCCTTATTTATGGGCGTGTGGGCTCCACCCACCCTCATCGTATCCGAAATGTCGTTCCCTACATTAAGATACATACATTAGTCGATATTTCGTGTCTGTACCTGTTGCACTTCTCTATAAATAAGAGGATTTGTTCCTTTAAAACCGCTTTCGTCCTTATTTATGGGCGTGTGGGCTCCACCCACTTTCATCGTATCCGAAATGTCGTTTACTACATTAAGATACATACATGTACATTAGTCGATATTTCGTGTCTGTACCTGTTGCACTTCTCCATAAATAAGAGGATTTGTTTCTTTAAAACCGCTTTCGTCCTTATTTATGGGCGTGTGGACTCCACCCACCCTCATCGTATCCGAAATGTCACTCCCTACATTAAGATACATACATTAGTTGATATTAAATGTCTGTACCTGTTGCACTTCTCCATAAATAAGAGGATTTGTTATTTTAAAACCGCTTTCGTCCTTATTTATGGGCGTGTGGACTCCACCCACCCTCATCGTATCCGAAATGTCGTTCCCTACATTAAGATACATACATTAGTCGATATTTCGTGTCTGTACCTGTTGCACTTTTCCATAAATAAGAGGATTTGTTCCTTTAAAACCGCTTTCGTCCTTATTTATGGGCGTGTGGGCTCCACCCACCTTCATCGTATCCGAAATGTCGTTTACTACATTAAGATACATACATTAGTCGATATTTCGTGTCTGTACCTGTTGCACTTCTCCATAAATAAGAGGATTTGTTCCTTTAAAACCGCTTTCGTCCTTATTTATGGGCGTGTGGGCTCCACCCACCTTCATCGTATCCGAAATGTCGTTTACTACATTAAGATACATACATTAGTCGATATTTTGTGTCTCTACCTGTTGCACTTCTCCATAAATAAGAGGATTTGTTCCTTTAAACCTGCTTTCGTCCTTATTTATGGGCGTGTGGACTCCACCCACCTTCATCATATCCAAAATGTCGTTCACTACATTAAGATACATACATTAGTCGATATTTTGTGTCTGTACCTGTTGCACTTCTCCATAAATAAGAGGATTTGTTCCTTTAAAATCGCTTTCGTCCTTATTTATGGGCGTGTGGACTCCACCCACCCTCATTGAATCCGAAATGTCGTTCCCTACATTAAGATACATACATTAGTCGATATTCCGTGTCTGTACCTGTTGCACTTCTCCATAAATAAGAGGATTTGTTCCTTTAAACCTGCTTTCGTCCTTATTTATGGGCGTGTGGACTCCACCCACCTTCATCGTATCCAAAATGTCGTTCCCTACATTAAGATACATACATTAGTCGATATTAAATGTCTGTACCTGTTGCACTTCATAAATAAGAGGA